AGAGACAGGCAGAGGCCAGTGGGACATCAAAGTTTACTGAGATGGGAGCAAACTCCCAGCCCAAAGCCATTCCCTAGGACAGGTGTCCCCACACCCGATGTCCCCATGGTCGGTGTCCCCCTCACGCCGTGTGCCGGCCCTGGCGCCGCTTGATCTTCCTCTTGAGGAGCAGCAGGTCCAGGTAGAGCAGGCGGCCCAGGACAGTCGAGGCGCAGAGCAGCCCCCCCGTGCACGGCCCCTGCCAGCCCGCAGGAGAACACGTCCTGCCCTGGGGACAGGCCACCGTGGGACACGGCCACCCCAGGGGGGGGACCTGGCCACCACCAGGGAGGACATGGCCACTCTCAGGGGGAACAGAGTCACGCCTTGGGGACTTGGTCACTACCATGGTGCATCCAGACACCCCTCACTGCAGGGAGCCCCTGGGGACACCATCCACAGCCTGGAGCTGGTCACGGGGACAGCAAGACAGGGGGATGTGGGGCACTCCTTCCTCACCTGTCAGGTAGAGGTTCCTTACAGGGGTGTCGGCTCTCAGGGTGGCCATCACGGTGGGGCAGAAGCGGCCCAGGTCGTGCTCGGCCCCATACATCGCCCCGTGCGGGGCCGCCAGGTAGTGCTGGTTGGTGAGCGGTGATGCCGCCTCCACGAACTCCACCTGCCCGGGCACAGGGTGCTCGGGGCGTGCCGGGGGACACCGGGCATGGGGGGCATGGATAGGCCCATCCCATCCCACCGCAACAGGTCCGAGCCCATCCCATGCGGAGGTGCTGGGGCTGTGGAGCCACATCACAGGGCACCCTGTCCTCACTGGGCACCCCAAACCCACGGGCACCCCTTCCTGTTGGGCACATTCCCTTTGGGTATCCCAGCTCCAAATGGTACCGTCATCACCAAGCACATCTCTGCAGGGCACGCTGCTCCCACAGGGCACTCCATCCTGCCTGGGCACCCATCCCATAGGGCACTCATCCCACAGGGCATCTCATCCCACCTGAGCACCCAATCTTCACTCTGCACCCATACCCATGGGGCACCCCACCCCTGTGGGACACCTCAACCCGCCCCACAGACCACCCCATTTCCATGGGGCGTCCCATCCACACAGGACGCCCTATTCCCCACTGAGCATGCCATTTCCACTGTGCATCTATCCCTGCAAGGCACCAAAACCCCATGGAGTGTCCCATCCACACAGGGCACCTTATTCCCCACTGGGCACCCCAACCCTCCAGGACACCCAGTCCCCACTGTGCACCCCATTTCCACTGTGTTTGCCCATCCCTGTGGGACACCCCAAATCTGAAGGGACACTCCAAATCTCAAGGGGCACCCCAACCCCACAGGGCACCCCAACTCCATAGTACACCAGGATGCTGCATCCCTACACTCCCTCCCCTCCCTGGAAATCACTCTGTGCCCATTATGCCCCCTCCCCTCTGGGCACCCCCAGTCGTGGTAGGGTTTCCCGTGGGGTCACCTTGTCCCTCAGGTGTGGAAAGCGGAGCAGGGCCCTCTCCAGCAGCCGCTGGGCGATGGACATCTTGTACTGCTGGTAGTCAGGGCTGCGGTGCCTGGGGAGGCTCCCGGTCCACTCCTCAAACCACTCGTACCGTGCCATGGTCAGGATGGTCATGCATGACCGGCCTGGGAGGAGGACACAGCTGGTGACACCCCCTGTGCCACCACAGGACCACAGTGGGGGTGCCAGCCAGGGACATGGCGATAGTGGTGGTGCCCACCTCAGGTTGGTGGCATTGAGGAGCCTCTGACCCCTCGAAGCTGAGTGGATCAGGGGTGCAGAGCTGGGAGTGGCCTGAGGGGTCCCCAGTGCTGTTACCTGGGTGCCGCTGCTCGTAGGTGGGGTCCTTGGCAGCGGGGAAGGTGATGAACATCATGGCCAGGTTTTCAGGGACGTCGTCACGGCTCAGGGCAGCGTAGTGGGTCATCCTGCGGGCAGAGAGGGTTGTGATGTACCCACTTTGCACCCCCTGTGCACTCACCCACCATGTGCACACCATGCACTCCCTGTGCACCCACCCACAGTGCAGGCCCCACACATCCCCCATGCACCCACCCCACTCACCACGCACAACCCTGCACCCACCCCGCCTGCTGTGCTCCCCCAGGCACCCCTCATGCACCCACCCTGCGTGTGCCCACCCACCTGCCGTGCCCCCCCCCGCCCCCATGCCCACCCCAGGGTGCCAGGACCCCTCACATAGTGTCCAGGTCATTGTGGGGGTAGATCCAGAAGTTGGTGGGGGGCAGGCCCAGCTCGGTTGCGCTGCCCCGCAGCCCCACGAACACCAGGAAGGAGCCCATGCTCGGTCGCACCATGGCCAGGCGGGATTGGACACCTGTGGGGACACGGGGGTGACACCCCAACCCTGCCTGCACGAGGGACATGAGACTGCTGGGAACATGAAGGTTCTGGGGATGCCAGGGACACTGGGGGCATAGGGACACAGGGATGCTGAGGACAACAGGGGTGCTGGGGACTCTGAGGACACTAGAGGCATGGAGGTGCTGGGAATGTGGGCATGCTGGGGACACTAGGGATACTGGGAACACCAAGGATGCTGGGGACACTGAGAACACTAGGAACACGGGGAGGCAAGGATGCTGGGGACATCAGGGATGCTAAGGATGCTGGAGATGCTGAGGACACTGGTGATGCCAGGGACACCAAGGACACCAGGGATGTTGAGCAACCCTGGTGATATGAGAACACATGGATACTGAGGACACTATGGGCACCAGGGACATGGAGATGCTGGAGACATGGGAACACACGGATGCTGGGGACACTGGTGATGCTGGGGACACAGGGATGCTGCAGACACAGGGATCCTGGGAACACTGAGGACACCAGGGACATGGGGATACAGGGTTATGTTACCGGGGTGGCTGCGGATCTGGGGGGGCAGCAGTTTGCTGAAGGTGTTGAAGATTCCAGCATCGGAGATGACAAGGGGCACGCGTATCTCCAGCTCCTCCTCACTGGACCCCACCTGCACCGCCACCCCTGGGGACCAGGGTGGGGGGTCAGGGGGCACCGGGCACTGCCACCCCGTCCCCATCACACACATGTGACCCCCCCCCCCGGGACGGGGCTGGGGATCAGACACTCACCCAGGGCGGCGCCGGCGGGGCTGACGAGGACACGCGTGACGGGGGCGCGCACCAGCACGGCCCCCCCCGCGCGCTCGATGACGGGTACGGCGTGGAAGGCGATCTCGCTGGCCCCCCCCCGCGGGTACCAGGCCCCCCGCTGGTAGTGGTGAACCATCAGCACGTTGACCAGGAAGCTGGAGTCCCGTGGGGCAGTTCCTTTGGAGGGGGCAAGGGGGAGGTGGGCACGGCTGGACCCTGCCCCAGTGCAGGGCAGCCCTCCCATATCATGACATGTTCTCCCCTGTCATGATGTGACTCTCCTCATCACTATGTAGCCCTCCCCTGTCATGATACAGCCCTCCACTATTGCGACATAGCCTCTTCTGTTGTGATATGCCCTTCCCTGTCATGACAAAGTTCTTCTCATCACAATACAGCCCTCCTCTATCATGATATAGCCCTCCCCTATCAAGACATTACCTCCCTTATCATGACACAGTCCTTCCCATCATGATACAGCCCTTCCCTATCATGACAAGGCCCTCCTCACCACAATATATCCATCCCTCCCCTATCACAACACAGCCCTCCCCTAGCAAAACGTGGCCTTCCCATATCACGATGGGGCATGCCCCTATCACGATGGTGCCCTCCCCTATCATGACACAGCCCTCCCCTATATAACACTACTGTTGTTCTCCACGACGGTGCTCTCCCTATCACGACAGACCCCTCTCTATCGCGACAGCTCCTGACCATAGAAGAGGTAGCCGAGCAGGGCGCGCAGGTCGGGGTCAGAGGTGAGCTGGGCCACAGCCTGGCTGTGGCTGGTGGTGGCCAGGCGGAACACGGGGGACAGGAGGGACAGGAGGCCAGAGCGGAGCAGGAGGGTGGCCACCCAGCGCGGGACCAGCTTCAACACGGCCAGCAGTGCCACGTGCCGCGAGGCCACCTGGGGGACATTGTGCCATGTCACTGTCACCACTGACACCATCTCACCCTGCCACCACCACCAGTGTGGGGCCAGCTTCAGCACGGCCAGCAATGCCTCGTGCCGCGAGGCCACCTGTGGGACATCAACCCGTGTCACCACTGCCAGTGCGGGGTCAGCCTCAGCATGGCCAGCAGTGCCATGTGCCACCTGGGGGACTTTCTGCCACTTCACTGTCACCACTGACACCACACCATCCTGCCACCACCATGAGCATAGGATCAACTTCAGTGCGGCCAGCAGTGCCACGTGCTGCCAGATCACCTGTGTGACACTGACCTGTGTCACCACTGACATCATCCCAAATCACCACTGCCACTGCAAGACCAGATTTGGCACCGTCAGCAGTGGTACATGCCCAAGGCCACGTGTGGGACACCAAGCTAGGCCACTGTCACCACCAGCACCTCCTTGCCTGGCCACCGTGTCATCAGGACTGTCACTGCCATGACCCCATGAGCACCACCTGTGGCTCAGCACCCACACCCACCATGCCTAATGCCCTTGTTCTCACTATGCCCAGGACTTCCCTCCACCATGCCCAGCACCTGTGTCTCCAGCATGCCCACTACTTGTGTCCCCTCCACATCCATCACTTTTGTCCCCTCTGCACCCACCACCCATGTCCCCTCCATGCCCACCACTCTTGTACCCATCATTCCCAACACTTCTGTCCCCTCCATGCCCACCACTCTTGCACCCATCATTCCTAACACTTCTGTCCCCTCCACACCCATTACCAGTGTCCCCACCATTCCCATTGCCCCTTCCCCACCATCACCCATGTCCCCACAGAACCCACCAGTGCCACCACCACACCCACCCCCCCTATTCCAGGCTGATCATTTCCAGTCAGAGCGACCCCACCACCTCTCCCTGACCCTGTGGTCACACACCATGGGGGTGGTGTGTCCCCACCTTGGAGATCTTCATGAACTCCCTGATGGCCGCCTTCTCCGCGGGGAACTGCTCCTCCAGCGCGGTGACAAAGGCCACCTTGCCGGCGCGCAGTTGGTAGCGCCGGGGTCCCAGGGTCACCTCATCGTAGGGGTCGGGCAGGCGCTGCCAGCAGAGCTGCCCATCCGTCAGCTGGTCCAGTGCCACACGCAGGAGGCTGCCCTCGTGCAGCTGCCCCACGTAGTGGATGCCTGCAGGACAGGGAGAGGGGACATGGCAGGGGGACACCGGGGGGGTCACATGGACATGTGATGGGAGCACCTGGGGGGCAATGGGGGAGAAAAGGGCTTGGCTTTCACCTGTTGTGGGTCACACTGAGGGGAGGGGGTGGGATGGGCTGCTGGCACGGACACAGCATGGACAAGGCATGTGCATGGCACAGGCACAGAAAGTACATGGCATGCACACAGAGCACACATGACATGCCCATGGCATGGGCATGGCATGGACAAGACATGAACATGATATGGTCACAGCATGGACAAGACATGAAAATGACATGGTCACAGCATGGACATGGTATGGACATGGCACACAGATGCCATCGACACAGCACACATGCACAGCACACACTGTGCACACACACACTACGTGCCAACAGCACGTGTGTTGTATGCAGACAGTGCACACATAGACTGCACACACACCTGCACACAGCCCTGCACCCGCAGGCACACACACAGGTGCTGTGGGGGCAGCAGTGGTGCCAGGGGATGCTGGGGGCTTGGGGAGTGTCGGGGGGTCTTGGAGGTCCTTACCGACGTCAAACTCGATGCCGTGCTGCTGGAAGGTGTGGCAGCACCCGCCGGCCTTGTCATGCTGCTCCAGCACCAGCACCCGCTGGCCCGCCTTGGCCAGGGTGGCGGCCACTGCCAGCCCCCCCACGCCACTGCCGATGACCACGGCGTCCAGCTGCTCCGGCACCCGCTGGGGGCTGAACCCTGGGCACAGGTGTGGGATTAACCACTGCCCATGGCCACCACTGGGCACTGAACCCTGCACACAGGTGTGGGATTAACCACTGTCCACAGCCACCACTGGGCACTGAACCGGGGCACACACGTGTGGGATTAATGACTGCCCATGGCCACTATGTTCAGCTGCTCTAGCACCTGCTGGGTGCTGAACCCTGGGCACACACGTGTGATCAGCCCCTGCCCGTGATCACCACCAGACACCCTGAACCCTGTGTAGGCACAGTGCACCTGACAGTGTGCTCAGACCCCACAGTGACCCTGCAGTGCCCATGTCCAGCCACTCTGGCACCCACAGGACACCAAGCCCTGCACACGTGATCAACCACTGCCCACGGGAACCACATCAAGCCTCTTTGGCACCTGCCGGGTGCTGAACCCTGGGCACAAGTGTATGATCAGCCCCTGCCTGTGGTCACCACTGGGCACTGAACCCTGTGCACACACACCTGCTCAGCCTCTGCCCACGCTCCCCACTGGGCACTGAGCCCTGTACACATGATCAGCCCCTGCCAGTGGCTGTCCCTGGGCACCCTGTGCACATGCATGTGCTCGGCCACGCTGTCACATGCAAGAGGCAACACGAGGGCACACAATGGGCAGCACGCCCAGCATTCCACAGGACAGATGGACACACAGACAGACAGATACCCGACGGACACTCAGCACTCACCTCGCTTCAGCACCCTGTCCCGGGTGCGTTGGTCCGTCACCAGCGGCCGGGGGGGTTCCAGGGGTGGCCCGGCAAAGGGGTTGCCGGACGGGGCCAGCAGCTTGTGGGCCACCCGCCCCAGGGCCAGCACACCCAGGGCCACCAGCAGCAGCAGCGTGGGCCACATGGCTGTCACCACAGGCGGGATGGACAGGTACTGACACGGCAAGGACACACTACAGCCCCGCACGTTCAGCCCTGACACTTATAGACACAGCAGCTTATGGACAAAGGGGATTATGGACAGGCTTACAGACACCCCTGCTTAAAGAATCCGGAGCTCATGGACACACCCCCTATGGAAATGGCACCTTATAGCCACGGCAACCTATGGCACCCTATGGCCACAGCTCCCTGTGGGACCCTCTGGTACCCTATGGCCACAGCTCCCTTGGCCATGGCATCCTATGGCTCCCTATGGCTCCCCATGGGACACAATGGCACCCCCGGATGCCCCATGGCACTCCGTGGTACCCTGTGGCACCCCATGATGCCCTACAGTTCCTTATGTGACCCCATGGCCATGGCACTCCATGTCAGTCTGTGGCACCCTATGGTTTCTTATGTCACCCCATGGCACCTTATGGTACCCAGTGGCTCCCTGTGGGAGGTGCACACACGTGTGCATGGAGCACAGGTGTGTGGGACACTGGTGTGTTGGGCACTGCACACACACACACGTGTGTGTGCACACAGGTAGCTGTGCACATGCGTGCACACCCACCCTTGTGCAAGGGAACACCCGACCCCCACACACCTGTGAGAGCAACGGGTACACACACATGGGCTGGCACACACACACACGTCTGTGCAAACACACGTGCACACACATACATAGGTTGACACACACAGACACACACACACACATCTGTGCAAACACACACACACATGTGCACCCAGGCACACACTGACCCTGTGCAAACACACATGTGCACACACACATACAGTCACCCTGTGCACACACATGTATGTGCACACACGAGCCGACACGTGCACACACATGACTGTCCAAACACACATGTGCACACGTCTGTACACACACACTTACCCTGTGCAAACACACACGTGTACACACACATGTACACCCATGCATACACTCACTCCTGTGCAAACACACACGCGTGCACACACACATCTATGCAAACACACACACACACTTGCACAGCCACACACAGTCCCCCCCACCCCCCTTTCCCCCCCCCCCCGTGCCTGCAGCTCTGCTGACCTCTCCCGGCAGCACCAAGGAAGGGCCCGTGTGTGCACCGTGACACACGCACACACGTGTGCACACCCACGTATGCCCTATGTAAACCCCATCCCCTCCCCTCATCCTCTCAACAATCTCCCCAAACCCAACACACCACATACCCACAGTCACCAAACCCCAAATGTAACGTGTGCACACACATGTGCAAACACACATATGGGCACACACGTGTGGGCACACTCACACACCATCCAGCCCCAAACTGGTGCAAAATGGGGATTTCCAGATAAAAAACCATCACTATCAGGTGGGAGAGGGGCAGAGGTGACACAAGTGGCACATGTGACACAGGTGACACCGAGTGTCCCCCAGGGGTCTCCCAATGCCCCCCCACATTCACCACGAGGGACGAACTCACCATTTTTCTCTCCTTTAATAAAATCCACAGCAAAGTACCAAAAAGGAGCAAGGGGGGGACAGGGAGGAGCCGGGGGGGGCGAGGTGTGGGACATGGGGCAGGAGGGACATGGGGGCACACCCTGCACTACCCATGTCCCTGTCCCTTGGGGTCACCCCATGTGTCACCATCCCCAGCCCAGACACCCTCGGTGAGCCCCAAGCCACAGCCCCCCATGGGGTTAATTACAGGGTTAATTAAGAGTTATTACAGGGAGGAACCTGAGCAGGGAGGGGGGAGGGAGGGGTTATTGCTACCTGGGGAGGGGGAGGAGGGCCACAAAGGACAGAGAGGGACTCCCCACCCCGGTAAAGGGAAAAGGGGATCCTGCGGGGGGGTTTTGGCCTGAGGGGGTGGAGGGGTGGGTCAGGACACTTGGGGCCACAGCAGCTTCCAAGGCTCCAGCTGGGTGTGACCCTCCCACCCAAAACCCCACAGCCCCCCCAATCCTGGGGGTCCCAATCTGGGACAGGGTGGGTTTCCTCATGGGGAAACTGAGGCAGGGGGCTATGAAGAGTGGGGGGGACCCCTGTCCTCCCTGTGTCCCCCATCTGAGAAGTGGCACAACCCCTTGGGGTAATTTGGGTAGGGGGTGAGGTTTTGGCAGTGAATTAGCTGTGTGGGTGCTGGGCATGGTGGGGGGTGGCTGTGCCCCCCCCATGTGGCCCCCAGTGGCTGATTCTGCCTCCCCCCCCCCCCCCAACTGGGGGTGAGTAGGGGGGAGAGAAGGGTCAGGCTTGGGTTGGGGGGCTCTACAGAGAGCCACACACACACACCCCCACGGTGCTGAGCACAAGCTCATCACACCAGTGGGTGAGGCACAACCTCCCTCCACCCCCCACAGCCCTCCTGGGTGGGCTGGGGGGGTTGAGGGGAGGGTTTTATGGCCCCCCCGTGGGGTGGGGTGGTCACTAGTAGACCCAGGTGACAGGCACCCACTGGGGCTGGACACGCAGGTGGTCCATGGCCTCCCGGAGCCTCCCGAAGGTTCGCTCCAGGTCGTCGTTGATGAGGCTCAGGTCAAAGTAGTGCCCGTACCCGCGTTGGATCCGGTTGCTCTCCTCTACCGTCCGCTGGGCATCTGCCTCCTGCACCCCACAACTGCCTCAGGATCCCCACTGCCCCACAGGGATGGCAGAGGAGCAACCTCTGTCCTCCTCCTGCCCCGGCAACCCTGCCTCAGTTTCCCTGTTGCCCCCCAGTATTGCAGAGGAACACCCATCATCTGCCTTCAGCCCCCCAATCCTGCCTCAGTTTCCTCGCTACCCTCCAAGGTGGCAGGGGGTACACCCATCATGAGCTGTGTGTTCTTCTTCTGCCCCCACAGCCCTGCCTCAGTTTCCCCATCGCTCTCCAGGATGGCAGGGTGACACCCACCATCTACTGCCCACCCACCTCCTGCACCCTAAACCCTGCTCCAGTTTCCCCAACAACCCCCAAGGTGGCAGAGGGACACCAACCATGAGCTGTGTGTCCTCTTCCTGCCCCCTAAACCATGTCCTCAGTTTCCCCATCACCCCTCCATGCCTCCTGGGTAGAGGGAGGACACCCACCATCCACCTCCTGCCCCCCAGACTCTGCCTCAGTTTCCCCATCACTCCTCTGTGACAGAGGGGGACACCTGCCATGAGCTGTGTCTCCTCTTTGTGCCCCCCAAACCCAGCCTCAGTTTTCCCACTGCCCCCTAGGGTGGCAGAGGGATGCCTGTCGTTCTCTGGGCATCTGCCTCCTGCACCCTAAACCTGGCTCAGTTTCCCCATCACCCCCAGGATGGCAGGGGGACACCCAACATCTGCTGCCCACCCACCTCCTGCCCCCACAGACCTGCCTCAGTTTCCCCAAGACCCTGTGTGCCCCCCTGGGGACAGAGAGGGACACCAACCATGAGCTGTGTGTCTTCCTCCTGCCCCCCCAAACCCTGCCTTAATCTCCCCACTGCCCCCCAGGGATGGCAGAGGAACACCCACCATCCACCTTCAGCCCCTCAAACCCTACTTCAGTTTCCCCATTGCCCCCCAGGGTGGCAGTGGGACACTCACCATCTGCCTTCAGCCCCCCACAGCCCTGCCTCAGTTTTACCTTCCTTCAGTTTGGCCCCCAGACCCCCAGGACACCCACCGTGAGCTGTTTGGTGGCCACACCACTCTCCAGGGCCGCTCGGTTCATGGCCCGCAGGGTCTCAGGGCAGGGGGCTTCGATGAACACCACATACGGCACAAACTCAGCTGTTCTCAGCACCTTCACTGCCTGGGTGGGAGGAGACAGAGTCACCAAAATCCTGGGAAATAAACCCTCTAACCCAGTTTGTCAGGTTAGAGGGTTTATTCAACATTGAGGTACATGGGGATGGCTCCACAAAACCTGTACATCAGTTATTAAAACTTTTAAGTATTTATACATTTTAGCAAACAAAGGAATTAGTGTTCATCAGCTTATGCAGTTCTCTTCATTAATTATTATTCTATCTTCTATTGTTAATTAATTTCTCATGCTAATCGGTCCCCATTTTCAGTATTCTATTACTTTTTCCCAGGGAGGGAGAGTCTCTGGGAAATTATCTGTGTTTGTTTCTTCTTCACCTCTTGTTTCTGCATCTTTGTGGTTTATATAAATTCTGCATTTGATGTCAACACTAAATTTCTCTCCCAGCTCTAAGAGCACTGAGCCATGTCAGGCCCTAAACCTTCCATTTGTTCTTCGAACACACAGGCATCACCCAGAGCTTGCCCATCATCTGTTATCTATTCCACTAATTAAATCTCCCCTCAACAATTCCCCCCCCCACGGCTGCACTTTTAAGAAATACAACTTGTTGGGTAACAACAGTCATTATCACCCTCCCCTACCTGGGGGTTGACATCCAGGATGCACATCTTGCCAGCCTCTACCACGGCTCGGATGGAGTCGATCCTGGTTCCATACAGGTTTCCCTCGTACTCGCCGTGCTCCAGGTACCTCCCAGCCTTGATGTCGGCCTCCATCTCCCCCCGGGACACGAAGCGATATCCCTGCCCATCCCGCTCGCTCTCCTTCGGCTTCCGAGATGTGTCTGCCGGCAGTGGGGACCCACCTGAGTGACACCCACCCACCTGGGGTCCCATCCCGGGGGTGCTCACAGGGTGTGGGAATGATCGCAGGGGACAGGGATGTTCAAAAGGGACAGGAATGCTCACAAGGGACAGGGATGCTCACAAGGGACAGGTATGGTTGCAGGGGACAGGTATGGTTGCAGGGGACAGGGATGCTGGTGGGGTCGGGACAGGGATGCCATCAGGGGACAAAGATGGTCATGGAGACAGGCATGGTTGCAGGAGACAGGGATGATCATGGAGGACAGGGATGGTCACAAGAGTCAGGGATATTGGAGTGGGACAGGAATGCTTACAGGGGACAGGGATGCTAGAGGCGGACAGAGATGATCACAAGGGACAGGGATGCTGGAGGGGGACAGAGATGGTTGCAGGGGAAGGGATGTTCACAAGGGACAGGGATGGTCACAGGGGGAAGGGATGTTCACGAGGATGGTGATGCTCATGGGGACTGTGATGCTCATGGGAACGATGCTGCTGGCAGGGAACAGGAATGCTCACAAGGGACAGGAATGGTCGCAGGGGACAGGGATGCTGGAGTGGACAGGAATGGTCCTGAGGGACAGGGATGCTGGAGTGGGACAGGGATGCTGGAGTGGGACAGGGATGGTTGCAGGTGACATCGATGTTGGCAGGAGACAGGGATGGTCGAAGGGGACAGGGACGCTCACAGATGACAGGGATGCTCCCAAGGGACAGGGATGATCACGAGGATGGTGCTGCTCACAGGGGACAGTGATCTCACGGGACTGATGCACGATGCTGCTGGCAGGGGACAGGGAGGCAGGTGAGGGGCGGTGATGCCGGTGGGCTCAGCGATGCTCATGGGGACAGCGCTGCCAGCAGGGACAAGGGCCACTCACAGGGGATGGTGGTGCCGTAACGCGCCTGGTCCGACATGATGAGCTTGTTCTTGAGGCTGCGCCGCCCCACGCCCTGCGCCCCGATCAGCACCAGCGTTTTCCGGCGGAACGGCGGCATCCGCGCCACCTCCTCGTAGATCAGCAGCTCATGCCGGTCGAACTCTGGGC